ACTCTGAAACTTAATAACTCTGTAATCTTAGATAAATAATTCAACCTTATTAAACTATAGATTTTCCCCATTTGTAAATGAAAATGATCATCCTGCCTTATTGTCACAAATTGCTCTGTTAACTTTGAAATATTAATTACGATCATCTTCCTGGGTCACACTAATCCATTTAGCTGCCATAAATATACAGCTAAGAGCCCTGAGAGTCTTAAAATGGAAAGCAATTTCAGAAATGTTACAAGCAAATAATAATTTTTTATTATGGGCAATTATTCAAATACTATCTTTTGTTCTTTTGTATGCTTGCATAATTTCTATTAAAATGGTCACACTTCTATGGACATAAGAAGTTATTTTGTACTTTTCAAGCAAACTGATTTGATATGTATGCAATTATTCAACAAAAAGTTAAAGAATGCCTATTATCTGTAAGATAATGTAGTATTGCAGTAAAGGGAGTAGGGGTGGAGAAATAAGTTTCTATCTTTACTGACTCACTGCAATGAATTCATAGAGAATGCTAGCCCATAGGGAAGGCATATGCAAATAATAGTGTATTTTTTAAACAGAAATTCCAGGCCCTAAAATGGCACAGTTTTTCTAATGTTGCCAGTGGATTTATGTATAAAAAACCAACAACCTCACTGAAGCTATATGTAATAATATAGTTGAAAGTATATCAATGTTATTATAATTGTTTTATAATTATAATGTCATTGCTATAATATTTTTATAATATAAACTTACATCTATAAACCACTCCAGTGTTCCCTGTTAAAAGGATGTGAGATGTGCTCACTCTTTCCACTTAATAAAAATTACTTTTCCCTCTCTTAGACCTAGTTAGCTAAAAAACTTGAGTTTTCTCAACATAACACTTCTTGGGAATGACACATCAAATTCTCATTGCTCTCTTTCCACCCTCTCCAGCTTTATGAATAATGAGTCTACTGAAAACATAAAGGCCACATTTTTCTTTCTTGGACTGCTCAAGTATAGAGCTATGTCATTGAGGAAATGAACATGAGGTGCCCTGAGCCTCTTGGAAGATCTCAGACTTGTTTTCATATGGAGGTCATCCAGTGGTACCCTCAGGTAAGGCTGAGGTAACTCCAGGGGTACTTAGGAGCACTTGCTTACCCTGGCGTCTGAATCAGCCAAGTCTTCACTCACGCCAAGATCCTCAGATCNATTTTTGTTTTTAAAATTATGGGATGGCATCGACAATACAAGTTCCATTTAGAAAATTCTTCCCCCTCCAGGACCACATACCAATTGTTGTGAGGCATTTCTCGATGTCACCTTTCAGCTCCAGATCCAGAACTTTGTTCATGTCATGCTGACTGTACTTGGTGTACTTCTGAAACACTGAATATTACATTTAATCTAAGAGATGTAGTAAGCATCTTATTCTTTATCCAACTATAGTAAAACCAGGTCAACTGACTCAAAGCATCCATTGGTATAATGGAACTTCAAAACACATATTTTAAAGCTTATAACTCAAGCATATTTGGATACTTCATCTTCTCCTAGGAACATAATTCACATGGCTATTTTGGTGCTCCTGTACCTTTAGAGGAAATTTTGTTAAGTGTTGACATTTATCAGAAATGGCATGTGATTGACAATCACAACACTTAAGACCTCAGAGCTAAGTGCCATAGCAAATGGATCTTCCCTTATATAAACATCTGCATAATAAATTCCCCTTAATATCACCATTAGAAATCAGTGTGCTATTATAAGATAATGAACTTTAAGTAACCATCATGGTTTTCCCCTTGCCTTGGCTTCAGGAGGCTCAGAACTAAATCTTGTGCTCAAAGTCAAGAACTCTTTTTGGTTTTTGTTTCTGGAACACCTGTGTACTCTTTTCTTCACTTAGCCCAAGATTTTTTTGTTTCTCTTTATTGTAATCTTGTTTTTTCGGTTGTGTTATATATTTTGTCACATCTATTCCAAATATTTTGGGAGAACAGAAATAGTCAAAGTAATGAAATAATGTTCTATGTGCCAAAGTCACAAAATGTATTTTAAATACTATAAAATATGACTCTACAAAGTTAAACAAGTGCACAAATATCAATAAAGAGTCAGCAGCACTATATTCATTTGGTTTAGGAGTGATGCTGATTAAGGCCTTTTCTCTTTCCTTTCTCTTATTTGTCCTCAAAAAAATTGCATTTCTATAAATAGGAAACATTTTATTTTTCTTCTTACCTCTGCGAAGATGGGGATAGCTTCTGGTGGTAAGAATGGTATTGAACACATTCACATCTGTCCCTTTTCTCTTTTCTCCTGCTTCATATAATGCCTGTCAAGAAACAAAAAATAAACACTTGACTATCTGTTGACTTGATAGCT